TTGCTACATGGCTGTATATCCCATTTGTCCAATTCCACTTACTTAAATGATTAACTTTCTCCCTGAGCACTGTATTGGTATCTTTTGTAAATGAGGTGACCATACTTGTGTGTCTGTTTGTGGACTCTTTTCTTGTCCTATTGGTCTATTTATCTATATTTACCTAAACATATATATATTTATTCCTGCATAAAAAAATTCTTGTATACAAATCATATCTTGATTATTATGGCTTTTCTGACTAAAAGTTCTTCAGATTTCTTCTTCTGGATGGCTTTGGTTGTTCTTAGATCTTTGATATCCATACATATTTTAGAATCAGTTTGTTGATTTCTATTTTCAAACAATCTGTTGAGATTTTGATTTGCAGTGCATTGAATAGATTATTTGGATGAGAATTTTCTCTGATTTAATTTTCATAATATTAGACTAATCTACAAACATGACATATCTCTGATTAATGTAGGGCTTCTTTATTTAAGAAATGTCATGTTGATTTCCGGACAAAGGTCTTATGAATTTTTTATTAGATTTGTTCCTAGGTATTTGATATTTTCTGACGCTATAGGAAATGGCATTTTTAAATTTTTCCTTTATAATTTTTACTGCTAATATGTGGAAATACAATTCCATTGTGTAATATTGACCTTATGTCCAGTGATTATACCAAATCATTTATTAATTCTAATATTTGATATATTCTTTAATTTTTTAATATAAAAAACACGTTGTATCTTTTATTTTTTGAAGAGCTGAGAAATCTTTCCCCGCAAACCCTAAAACACAAGCATCCATATCTTATTTACTGCAAATGGGAAATGCCTATTACCAAACCGGTCACCAGAGCGGTAGTGAGATTGCTATGACCTGGTTAGTCAACCACACTACTCTTTATATATCAGCTATACTGTGTTATAAATCAGTTTTTCTTTATTTTAAACAAATACATAAATATTTAGAAATTAATGATTGTATTAGAAGTTTGAACATCTCTGATAGATTATTGTGGAATATTTCTTCATCTAAATGAGCTGAAATTACAGACCTTAAATTTTATAAATTCTTAGCAATCAGGCCAGGCCTGGTGGCTCATGCCTGTAATCCCAGCACTTTGGGAGGCCGAGGCAGATAGATCACTTGAGCTCAGGAGTTCATTTCTGAGTTATCTAAATCTGTACTGCAAGGTTTGCCAAACTTCAAACAATTGGCATTTTGGACCGACCACATAATTCTGTGTTGTTGGAGACTCGCCTGTGCATTAAAGGGGTTGAGCAGCATCCCCGATGCCTATATACGAAACACCAGTAGAACTCCTCCTCCCAATTATGGCACTCTTCAGACATTTTCAAATTTCCCCTGGGGGGAAAGTGCCCCTAGCTGAGAACAACAACTGTACTATGGTGAACAAAATTTTAATAACTAGGTAAATGTAAAAATAGATAGACGTAAATAGTACATACAGTGCATCATGGGTTTGTTTGTTTTTTTAATCTCATAGCCATTTTCCTATGGCATTAAAAACTTTTCAAAAACATCCTGTAAAATCTATATAAGTTTATTCTATAGGCATCTAGCATCCTACTGGAAATTGAGGTTGTTGCAGATTTTTAAAAATAACGGATGCTATAATAATCACCTTTGAGCATATAACACTGTGAACATGTATGAGTTTTTTTTTTTTTTTTTTAGAAATTCATGCCTGGAGAGGAATTATGCATTTCATGTAAACTTTTTATATGTGTCATCATATTATCAAATTTTCATCTTGGAAGGTGCTATGAATTTATAATTCTATCTGGTAGTATATAAGAGAGCTTGTTTTCTTACAATAGCTTAAAACCTGATTAAATGTAATTGTTTTCAGGAATATAATAGCTGTATATTCTTAGAACAAGAGTGATATATGCTCATTGAAATCATTCAGAAGATGAAGTATGAAAAGAATGAAAAATCACCCTTTCAGATTTTTTTAATGAGCACATAGATACATATACACTTTAAAATGGAACAGAGGCAAAGAGAAAGGAGAGAGTATTGAAGACAATAGAGTTAAAAAGAGGGGCTTCTTTACAGTTTGAGATCTTAGAAGATAGCAAAAAAAAAAAAAAAAGAAGAAGACATATATATATATATTCCTTTAAAGAGAGCAAGGGTAGATGGGGAACATTTTAATTATTACTAAGTCAGGGACCATGACTAAGGCCCACAGAGATTCAAGAAAGGAGGAAAACTCTCAGTAAATTGAAATGACTCCCAAGAGGAAAACTGGATCTGTAAAACTGGTGAAAGTTGAACTACAGAACAAAGGGAATAGCTGTAAGTGGGGTTCATACCCCAAAATTCCTAGGACTATACATGGAATAGTGGTTAACATTGTCATAACAGAATCACTGATTCTCACCATCTTCCTGATCTTTCCAACTGAGCAAGTTTTCCCTGTTTTGGTTAGTGGCACCACCATCCATAAAAATATAGGATTCATCATTTACTGCTGTCCTTCTCTCATGATCTCACAGCCATTCAAGTTTCAGCTGAAGTCCCAGACATCAAGGAACACAGATAATCCATCCCCACTGTCTACTGTCTGAATTCTAGCTCTACAAAATCCCTGGGAATGATAAAATGGATATTGTTTCACGACACCAAATTGTGGAATAATGACGAGCAGACATTCTGTTCATTTTTCTTCTTCACTTACATCCATCCTGTATTTTATCAAGATTGCAGTTTCCATATTCCATTCTTATTCAATTCCCATTCCATTCTTTATAAACTGTATTCTGTATTTCATTCCAAATCTCATTCTATTCTTTTCTGGTATTTAAAAATCTATGCTGCATATTTCATAGTTCAATTATTCTAGACAATTGCACACTTTGTTCCATTCTATATTCCTTCCAATTTTGATTTCCTTTTTTAAAATATTTTATTTCATATTGTACTTCATTCCTTTTCTCATATATTTTTCTTTTATTCCATATGACATTAGATATTTGTTTCCATTTGCTGTTCATTCCATTTTCCCATTAAATTCCACTAAATTTCCAATATTCCATTCCACATCCTGTTCAAACCCATGTTCTACTCCCCATTTTATTCCACTTTCCATTGCAGTCTCCATTTCATCCCATCCTGCATACCATTTCAAATCCATTTTCCATCCTATAGTATTTAACACTCCAAATACCATTCCATTCTGTTTTTGAGTTGCATTTCAGCCCAATTGTTCAACAATTCCATTAAATATCCGATTTTATTCTGCTAAAAATATTGTAAGTGACATTCAGGGGACTGGTTTGCCAATATTTTTAATCAAAGAATAACAAATGTGGCTGGGCATGATGGCTCATGCCTGTAATCCCAGCACTGGGAGGCCAAGGTGGGCGGATCACCTGAGGTCAGGAGTTTGAGAGCAGCCTGGCCAACATGATGAAACCCTGCCTCTACTAAAAATACAGAAACATTAGCCAGGCATGGTGGCATGCGCCTGTAGTCCCAGCTACTCCAGAGGCTGAGGCAGGAGAATTACTTGAACCTGGGAGGCGAAGGTTGCAGTGAGCCAAGATCACACCACTGCACTCCATCCTGGGAGACAGAGCCAGACCCCATCTCAAAAATAAAAATAAATAAATAAATAAGTACAAATATGCATAGACTTGTACCAAGAATTTTCTCTTCTGGGAATTTATCTACAATGACACATTTAAGGATATGAACAATTTTTAATGAGATAGATGTATCTCACAATGATGTAAGATGCTGGAAACTACACAAATGGTGGCCAATATGGGAATGTTTGAAAATGTAAGCCTCTATAAATGGAGTATTTTGTGATTTAAAGTGGTCTTGTAGAAATTTGTTTACTGACATAGAAAGTGTACTTTCTGGAACCCAAAGCAGATTGCAACACAGTACTTACGGAGAAACTATTCCATTTCACACAATAAACAATTTTTTAAAACTATGAAATATATATGAATGGCCTTTCTACCAACATCTAAGTAAAAATTTCCAGCATTTGTCCATGGGTGCACGAGGACTTAGGAATAGTTTTCCTACATTTGCTTTTCTGTTTTGAGTACTGAACATGACCCCTTTTGTAATAAATAATGACTAAAAATTAGTGTCCAAATATTAAACTCAAAGTCTGTACATCACAGCCTATTTATATTAATAGGAACTAGAGACCACTCCAAATAAATTAATGTGTGTTCATTAGCAGATTACTACACAGCCCCTACAAATATTTAAGGACGGTATTACCTTAGGCAATCCCAAACAGTGCCTGGGGGGACAAGGCAGGGAGAAGCATCTGACTGTTAAGTTCTAAATCCCCCTCTGGTGTGTGGGACCTGAGGGAAGCAGCAGTGCTGAACATCCAGAGCCAAGACAGTGTGGGCCCCCTGCCTCTTCTCGCCTTCAGGCCTCTGTGCAACCCTGAAACCGACCAGACCCCACGTGGAGTCATCTAGATGCCTAGAGGAGTTTTGGAGCGATCCCTTGGGCGTCATCCATGGGCCCATTGTCCTGACCAGGTGCGAGGAGGGACACCTGGCTAGGAGATAAAACCTGCCGGCCAATGTGGCATTTCTTTCAAATGACCATTTAAGCCTCAGCCACGATTTGGGGTGACTCAAATCGTTCACGTAAAAAACACACACACACATACACACACACACACACACACACACACACACACACACACACGTCTTAGGGAACCCGTTTGAGGAGAGGAGATTCACACTATTGACCCAGCGGCCAGGGTCGAAGGGTCAAAGGGTCGACCCCCGGGGGCTGGAGCACACACACCGGGTTGAATACAGGTGCCTGGCTCCGGGTTGCACGGCTTGGAGTTGGATGGCTCGGGGGGAGAGAGGAGTCATGTGACATTTAGCTCACCAATCAAAGGCAAGCACTGGCTGGGCTCCACCCACCTTCTTGCTATACCAGCTCGCACTCTCCTCCGGCAGCAGTAGCAGCCGCGCTCCTCGCTCTCGGAGGGAGAACCTGCCATTACGGTCACCCAGTCCAACATGGAAACCGAGCAGAAGCACCAGCAGGACAAGGTGCCGGGAAGACCAAACAAGGAAGCCACCCCTGCCTCCGGGGATGCCTGCAGGACCGGGAATCAAGATCCTGCTGCCTCCATTCCCACGGTCTCCAGCGATGCGTCTCCCTCGGGCGCCGCCGCCCTGAGCAGCAGCAAAGCCGGTTCTACCGCTGCCGCCATTTTCACTGCCGATGAGAACCCGGGGCTGCCCATCATGGCTCCTGTTTCGGCGGAAAGGCATTCTGACCTCCAGGCCTGCTGCAGTCTTCACGAATACCTTGGATGTGAGGTGCCTGAGGGGGGCAGCCAGGCTGCTGTGGGGCCACCCCCGAAGGCCACTGGCCACGCCGAGCACCCAGCCGGGACCAAGAGCCCCTGGAACAACCGTCGTAGGAAGCAGCCCTGTGGCAACCCGGTTGCCTGGGCTCAGAAGCCTCCAGGGCGGTGTCTGTTTCCTAGGCTTTTGCCGCTGCCTTCTCCGGGGTCCCAGCCCAGCAGCCGTCGCTATTCCCAGGCTTCTACGTGGAGTCAGGCAACCCAGCCAGGCCCTGCACTCCTAAGCCGTGCCTCCGAGGCAAGGCCTGCTAGCCAAAGTTTCATCACCCTGCCAGCTTCTGCTCGCCACAGATACGCATCTGGTCCAGGCCCTGTCTTCCGACGCTGCACCGCCCCGCCAGGCCTGCCTTTTCCACCATTTGCCATTCATCTAGATCCTGCTCGTCTAGGCCCTGAATCTGCGCTAGACTCGGCCGCCGAAGGCCGCGCATCTGCGCCAGACTCGGCCGCCGAAGGCCGCACATCTCCGCCACGCCCCGCTCGCCGCAGCCGTGCATCTGCGCCAGGCGCCGCTCGCCGAGGCCGTGCATCTGCGCCAGGCCCTGCTCCACGAGGCCGTGCATCTGCGCCAGGCGCCGCTCCGCGAGGCCCTGCATCTGCGCCAGGCCCCGCTCCGCGAGGCCGTGCATCTGCGCCAGGCGCCGCTCGCGGAAGCCGTCTAGCTGCGCCAGGCCCCGCTCCGCGAGGCCGGGCATCTGCGCCAGGCGCAGCTCGCGGAGGCCGTCCGTCTTCGCCAGGCCCCGCTCCGCGAGGTCGTCCGTCTGCGCCAGGCGCCGCTCGCGGAGGCCGTCCGTCTGCGCCAGGCCCCGCTCCGCGAGGCCGTGCGTCTGCGCCAGGCCCCGCTCGCCGAGGCCGAGCATCTGCGCCAGGCGCCGCTCCGCGAGGCCGTGCATCTGCGCCAGGCCCCGCTCGCCGAGGCCGAGCATCTGCGCCAGGCCCCGCTCGCCGAGGCCGAGGATCAGCGCCAGGCGCCGCTCCGCGACGCCGTGCATCGACGCCAGAACCAGATCACCGCAGCCACGCTCTCCGAAGAGTTGCTTCCGGGTCAGGCCCTGTCCTCCGAGGCCGCACATCCGGGCCAAGCCCTTCGCTCCAACGCGGTGGCCATCCGCCAGGCCGTGACCGTCGCAGCAGCACAGCAAGGTCAACCCCTGCTCGTCGTAGCACCAGCATGACGCCAGGCACTGGCCGCCTTCTCAGCCGCCGCTCTGTATCTGGGCTAGCTGATGAGAATCCTTCCTGTGGGGCTGGGTTACGAAGGCTTGCCTTTCAGAGCAGCTCAGGCTCTCCTGATTCCGAGGTGCCAAGCAGTCCTTCCCCACCTGTTTGGCGTGCAGTCCGTATGCGTGCCTCCTCACCCTCACCCCCTGGGAGGTACTTCCTTCCCATCCCTCAGCAGTGGGATGAGAGCTCCTCCTCCTCATCCTCCCCAAGTAGGCCTCCTGGCACAAGTCCCTCCTCCTCCCCGACTAAGATTTCTGGGCAGGGTTCCTCTTCCTCTTCCCCTGAGTTTTTGGGCCTGAGATCTATCTCCACTCCTAGCCCTGCTAGCCTTAGGCGTGCCTTGTTGCCTGAGCTTTATGCTCCAAGCCCTGTCCCTCCAGAAGAGCAGGCAGAAATAGAGAGCACAGCTCATCCCCCAGCACCACCTGAGCTGTGACCTTCTGTGAGCATCCTCTAAGACTCACAGAAGGAATCAGCATCTACTTTGTCAGTGGGCTGCCTGCCCTGTAGTTACCTGCGAGGTCTCCCAAAGTTCTAGCTGTTAACCAACATTCTGCGTAGTTTTGAAGCCTCCCCTCCCCATGACTCCACCACCTAGCACTTTGTTGGCCTTTGATTCTGGCCCATCGTCTTCCTCAAGAGTTTGCTTTTGCCCTTGAGCTGAGACTTCTGTTTTCCAAGTTGCTTTCTGTTATGAACTGTTTTAATTAGTAAAGTGTTGATTTTGTTTTAAAAATGTAGAGGTGTGTTTTTTATTGCGATTCAAAAAATCGTTAATCCTATATCCTATTTAGAGGATTAAAGAAAATTGTTAACATACTAGCTTACCCTTTGGGTGAGAGAAGAAATAAAATACTGTTCTAGTAATAATTTTATTCCCACTGATTGAAATGGGGATATGTGCAGGAAGTTGCTACTTAGGCTGTATATACCCTCTTAGCAGAGGTGATTAGCAACTTGGGCAAGAAAAGGGGGCAGGGTTTAACCCAAGGTGATTGGAGAAAAGGAGGGGTGATGGAGACATCCAGGGTTCAGGAAAGAAGCAGGGCATGATGAAGTGTGGGGTGAGAGGGAGGGGAAGATAACCCAGATGGGAGTAGGGAAGCTGGGAGAAAGATCCAGATCAGGAAATGGGGAACAGCAGGACTCAGGAGCTTGAGAGGGGAATGTCTCAGTTTCTAAAGGGAAAAAAAAGTATATGTGTGGGGAACGGGCTTCTGAAGTCTCTGCAGGTGGGGAGAGTCTGGGAAGGTGATTCAGGGCTAATAACTTGGGAAAATGGTCAGACATTTAGTGAAAATATGTTTTGATCTGTAATCTTAGTGTAACAAAAATAATTGTAACTAAGTTTGAGCAGATATATGAGGGTGTGTGTGTGTGTGTTTGTGTGTGTAGACATTTGGAGAGATATATGGGCATACACCATGCTCTGAACAAGTTGTATATCTGGTTCTTTAATAACTGGTGATATGGTCTTCTATATTCTACAAGTTCCACATTGACCATATAACTACTTTTGTAATTAAACTCAGCTATTTTTCAAAAATTTAAGGTGTAGGCGCATAATAGAGACCACATTAAAAGAATAGAGTGAAAAAATAAAAAGCAAACCAGCAAAAGAAACTCCCTTTCACTCTTTCTCATATTTCTCCTCTCCTTTGCTATTCTGGTATGTGAACAGTGCAGGCAGAGACCTGGCTAAAAAGTGCCCTAGTCGCAATTTGGAGGGTCCTGTTCAGGTCTTGATTATGCTTTATTAACACCACAAAGCTAAGAGTCCACAGGGACAAGTGGGACCTGTGTGCCCACCAGGTCCCAACATCCTGCCACTTTTATAGAAAATGTTTCAGGTACCCTCATTCTTCAAGACTGTTTCTCCAAGTTCCTTCCTAAGGAAAGAACACATTTTAAAAGCTCTCGCTCTGTTTTATTTCTTTTTCTTCAGTAATTCTAAGTATCCAAAGACTAAGACAAGAAGTAGACAGTTTCAGTGCAGCAAGTCACAACCTCGCAGTATTGGAGGGCCTACATTTATTCCCATTTCACAGACGTGAAAATTGAGGCTCAAAGCAACTTGGTGATTTTCCAAATCTCATCACTAATAGAGCTTGGCTCCAGAGTCAGAATTTCTGGGTTTGAATTCTGTTGTTCCTATTGATTCACTGTGTGACCCTGGGCAAGTTAGTTAACCTGGGATCCAAAGCTTCTGCATTTGTCAACTGGGCACAGTAAGAGTGCATCCTCTAACATTATTGTAAGGATTAAAATGGATGGTCCATATTAAGCGCTTCCAACAGTGTCTTGTACAACGTGAGTGCCCAGTAGAAATGCTTCTTAATCTGAATAGGATTATGATCTTGTGGCCAGACTGCCGCTTTTTAGGAAAAACCAGAACATTTTACTGGTCTTTCCTAAAACAACAATACCTTGAAAATCTACAGTGGCTGTTTCAAAAATGGAGAGGGACAGTCTTTATTGTACTTAGTTCTTTAAAATATGAAGGTATTTCCACAAGCTATTGAGCAATGTTTTTACCAATCCAGAGGCCACTGCGCAAAAATGTAAAAAAAACAAGGATTGAGCCTCGGAGGCACAAACTCTAGGAATTTAACAAATTTATACTTGCAGTAGTTACGTGAATGCTTCTGAGAACAGTAATTTTCCTCCCAGCATTGTTTGTATCTTCTTTAAAATATTGATTTTAATGAATGAATGGAATACACCAAGGATTAACATTATTGACTGCAAGGTGTCTTCATTCAGTACGTGGCATGCAGATATAACAGGTAAAAATCATAGTACACTTGTATATGTTATATAAATATATGTATACTAACTCAATTCACAGGACAACCTTAAGAAATAGATGTTCATATTGAGCCCATTTTATAGATAAAGACATTGAGGAAGAGAGGTTATATAAAACATAATATGGAGGAAAGACACATTGAACTGTGGACTCTCATGACCCTTTGAGAGGTTATTAACTTCTTTTGTGAGTAAACTGTATGATACGCTCCTGCAGAGAGTACTACTGTTTTGCCAAGTGTGAAGGTAATGGTTTGGACATGTTCATTTACTATTTATTATGAGAAATGGTGTTGGTTTTGTATTGTGTAAAGTTACTCTATCAACCTAAACTTCATATGGAAGGTGAAAAATTCTAGCCCAATCACATTAACTCATGTCACTCGTGAAAATAATCATAGCAGGAGGTTATAATTGATTGTGTAGGAAAGGTTTATCTACCAAGAAGCAGGAGCAAGTTTGGAAAGTAACAGCAACATTATAGGTCTTTCCTGGGAATTTGTGTGCCCTATCGTAGTTTCCCTTTGTGTCCCCCTAAGTGGTGTCCAGTCCCCAGAAACAGCTGTGAACTGGGAAAGGGGCGGGGTGAAAGGCCCATTTCAGAGCCCTGCACTCCTCACAGCTGAGCACAGCTTTAACTCCAGGGTTCCTCTGCGGGGAACCTGGAAGTACCCGAAAATCTTTCAGCTGCCTTTCCCTGGAAGTTGCCACAATCAGCTACTATACTGAACAGGGCTGGTTTTATGGGCACGTGACCTGTACAGTTGCACAGGCCCCTGCTTGCTTTAATGATGTGTTGTTGCCATCTTAAATGCTTAATGATTTTTGAACCAGTTGTTCCACATTTTTATTTTTCACTGGACTTCACCAATTATATAGCTGATCCTAAAACTGTTTTTAACACTTTAAAAAAATATTTCTAGCAAGCAGAGCACCAGGAAGTGTAGCTGGTGGCTGGTAATAAAAACAGATGACATTGTCATAAGAATGAGCTTAGGGTGGCCGGACGCGGTGGCTCGCGCCTGTAATCCCAGCACTTTGGGAGGCCGAGGCGGGCGGATCACGAGGTCAAGAGATGGAGACCATCCTGGCCAACATGGTGAAACCCCGTCTCTACTAAAAAATACCAAAATTAGCCGGGCTGGTAGCACGCGTCTGTAGTCCCAGCTACTCGGGAGGCTGAGTCAGGAGAATTGCTTGAACCCAGGAGGCAGATTGCAGACAGCCGAGATTGCAACACTGCACTCCAGCCTGGCGCCTGGCGACAGAGCAAGACTCAGTCTCGGGGAAAAAAAAAAAAAAAAAAACTGAGCTTAGGGTAAGGCAAACTGCATGAGACGCTGGGGTTGGAGAAGACTAAACTTGAAATTTGGCCCCACCTCTGCCTTGCTGTGTGACCTTGAGTAAGTTTCATAACCTCTCTGACCCTCAGTTTCCACACCTGTAAATTGGGGATAATAATATCGACTTCATTTTCACAATCTCTGCCTGTGCTAATCCTGTCTACCCATCCTTCTGGCTGTGGTTTAGGATCCTTCCTCTGTGTTCCCAGAGCCTCTTGTTCTTACCCTTGCCAAAGCCCTCATTACATCATTTTGGAAATTATATTTCTGCATAACCATCTTCCCACTAGACTATGGGAGCTTTGATGACTTGAATGAGCCTGGATTTTCCATGTGTCCCCAGAACCCAGGGGCCCTGGGCCTGATAGGCAGAAAGAATTGTTTCTTGGCTTAATAGTAATAGTACAAGCTACATGCTCTATAAAAAATAACAACTAATTTACAAAATATGTGTTGGAAATAATATATAAGAAGTGTGTAAACCCAAGATATTTCCCTATCTAAATTTTCTTCACTGAGAGAGGGCGTGGGCTTTTATCCTTTTCTCAGAACCATCAAGAACCAGTGTTTTCCTGATATCTTAACTTCATAGTGTAACTGGCACCTTCTGTTACTCCCTCAGCCTCGGATTTGGCCTCACAGCGGGTCTGCATTGGACATGACACTGAAGGCTTCACAAACACAGTGTTATTGATGCTAAATAGGCTCTCAAGAAATATTTCTTGAATAAATGCCTTGTTAGATTAATAGAAGCCAGCTAATTACATTATTTTATTTTATAGGTAAAAGGCTTAGATATCATTTGGTCTTATATTGGCAAAACCGAGGACATGAGCTAAGAAGTCAGTGGAATTGTGAAATTCAAGTGAGCATGTTCACACATACACAAACAGCCCACTCTCCTGGTATTCTGTTTTTCTATGACCACTCATCTCGTCAGTTTCACTTTCTTCTCCTCTCCTGTGTTCCATTTTCACAGTCAACACACTATACTGCAAATGCCATCAGACTCATCACATACAGACTTTTATCGAGCTTCTCAGATTCTGTGACTGCCTTCCCAAACATAATGTGAGATTCTTGAGGGCAAGGAACATGCTATCCTGGTCATTGCAAAAAACAGAATCCAAAATAATGCCTAAAATATGGTAGGAGTAACTGAATTGTTGAATTAATTAATATGTTGTGACACATATTAAAAAATACCTGCCTTCCAATTTGGAGGTCGTTGTGTAGGCATCATTGTTCTGTAGACACTATCTGTATAGGCAATATGTGTGAGGCT